TCAATGTCAATGTAATACCATCTCGGAAAAAAGAACGTGGGCCATGCTCACAGGGTGGGGCACTCTATCCTCGGAAGCCATGACTCTGAAAACGATTTTGGGGTTGTGATGGATAATCTGCTGAACATGATAATCCAGAGATGGTCTAGGGTTCTGCCATGAGGGACCTCTCGAGGTCTCTTCCAGTCCAATGATTCTATGAGCTCCCTGTGCTATGTAGTAGCGAAAAAGGCTAATGAGATCCTTGGATAAATAAATGGTTATAGCAAGTATGAGTAGGCAGGTTATATTTCCACTGTGTTTGGCACTGGTGTGACCGCTGCTGGAATACTCTATCCAGTTCTGGGGTCCACAATTCAAGAAGGATGTTGAGAAATTGGGAGAGGGGTCAGAGAAGAGCCACAAGACTAATTAAAGGACTGGAAAACATGCTGTATATTGAAAGACTCAAGGAGTTCTCATTCTAGTTATCTTATTGAAGAGGAAATTAAGTTGGTCAGATCCTGGAAGTGCCTCGGTGAGTAGCAGGAAGTTGATAATACGGGGCTCTTCAATCTAGCAGACAAAAATCTAACAAGATCCAGTGGGTGGAAATTGAAGTTAGACAAATTTAGAATTGAAAAATTGCCCCATATTTTAACAGTGAGGAGACTTAGAACACTGGAACAATTTACCAAGGACTGTGGTGGATTCCCCATCATTGGCAATTTTCAAAATCAAGATTGGATTCCCCCCTCCCAACCCCCCAACCCCGCAATGCTCTAGTTTACACAGGAATTAATTTAGGCAGTCCTACGAGCTGTGTGTGAGGGATATCTGACTAGACGGCCATATAATTTGTAAATCTAGACTTGGATATTCGTTTTGTTTGACATGAGCTCAGATTTATACTGGAGACTTTGTAAGACAAACGATTATTTGCCTTAATAGTGCTTTAGTTTTGTTTTATTTTTACCATGTCCACCCTTTTGGCCATGAGATGTTGATGTCATTTGAACAATGATGATTATAAGTAGCATTGGGCACAGACACGGATGGTTGGTTGCGAGAGTCGCAGTCCGAAGGGCAGAGACTGATCCAGGGAAGGAAGTTGCTGCCTGACCCCTGCAGTGGCGTGAGATACAGACAGGAGGGGAGAATGTGGGAGATGGAGGGGAACAGAACTGGGGAAGCTGCTGGGTTTGCTCTTGAGAGCCAGACAGCTGAGAACTGTGAACTCACTGCACCAGTGCCAGAGAGAGACAAGAAATAGCGTGTGAGTGCTAAGGGAAGCTGTCCCTGAATTCTTAAGGATTGTGAACGATGCCACCAGGGGAGCGATAGGGAGGGAGCTGTCCTCCGAAGAAGGCGAAGCTGGGCAGATCTGAGACAGAAGCCAGGGAAGTCCACAGACCTGGCCAGCCTTAAATTGAAGCCAAGCTGATCCCCATCACCGAGGCCCGAAGGCCAGAAAGAGCCCAGCAGCTCACCCCTCCCCATTTACCACAGTGTCTTGTATGAGGATGACAGAGTCTTTCCTTCCCGACTCACCAGGGACATCCCCAGGGGGATAAACGCCTCAGCTTGGCTTGGAGATGCAGACACTGCTGTAAATTCACCCCGTTCTCTGCGTCCCATTAACCTGAGCTCCCTGGGTTCCCGCTCTCGCGGCGTTTGCTTTTACGGCAGGATCTCAGCATCTCTCATGGGATCGCTGCCCTTTTCTCATATCGCTCTGTCACTGGGGCCTGCAGGAGCCTGGGACAGCCATGTGTGGGGCTGGGGCTGGAACGCACCATGCTGAACTGGCCTGCGGGCAGATGGGGTGGAGAGTTACCTTTTATTTCTTGGTTTGAAATGACAACGTGGAATTTAGTTTCTCAAACTCCCCGTGTTCTTTGGCTTGACTAATGAGTCCAAATGGCCTTTAACAGACTCCGCGGCTATCTGGAGGCCTCTTTGAGACACTATTTCCCCCCCGCGCCGAGCACCACGGAGTGCTGATGCTGGCTCTCCCAGCCTTCAGACACTTCTGCGGGGAAAATCCCTTGTCTATAGGGAAATCCCCTCTGGGTTTCATTTCCCAGTCACCTGCCTTCTGCGGAAGGAGAGTCAATCAGTTTCTGAAGCCTGGTGGAGTAGCCATGGGGAGGAATGGTAAGAGGACAGGGGAGCTATTTGTAGGAGGCATCACAGATGTTGCCACTTCTCTTTGCAGGACCCTATCACCTGTCACTGGAGGGGAAGGTCCACAACTTTCCTTATGGTTCTGCTCTGTCAGTTCTTCTGAGCTCCCAGAGAGCAAAGGTCCCTGCGAGAACGACCCCAATGCTGCACAGGAAACTTACATTTTTGTAAAACCAGGTCTTTCTCGAAGCTGTTGCCAGCGAACTGGGCTTTCTAAAACAGTGGTTTTCAAACTGCGGGTCGTGACCCAGTACTGGGTCGCGGCATGTCAGGCACTGGGTCGCGGTGGCTCTGGTCAGCACCACCGACTGGGCCATTAAAAGTCCCGTTGGCGGCACTACCCAGCTAAGGCAGGCTAGTCCATACCTTTCTGACACTGCGCTGCACCCCAGAAGTGGCCAGCAGCCGGTACGGCTCCTAGGCCGGGGGGGCACAGGGCTTCGTGCGCTACCCCCAACCCGATCACCGGCTCCGCACTCCCATTGGCCAGTTCCCGGCCAATGGGAGCTGGGGGGGATGGTGCTTGCGGGCAAGAGCTGCGCAGAGCCACTTGTGTGCTTCCGCCTAGGAGCCGGACCTGCTGCTGGCCTCTTGCGGGGCGCAGCACGGTCCGCTGTGCCAGGACAGGCAGGAAGCCTGCATTAGCACCCCTGCTGCGCCGCTTACTGGGAACCGCCTGAGATAAGCCCACGCCCCAACCCTCTGCCCCAGCCCTGAGCCCCTCCCACACCCCAAACCCCTCATCCCCAGCTCCATTGGGTGGTGGGCATCAACAATTTTCTTCAGCTGTGTCACCAGAAAAAAAGTTTGGAAACCACTGTTCTAAAACACTGGGTCCGGATGACCCTTGGTGCCAGAAAGGCTCAGCGTCAAGGGGTGAGTTGGGGAGAGCTCAGGAGCCCAGCCCAGAAGGGCAAAGG